AGCTATGAAGGCACACATGATTTTCATAACAGAATACAGCTGATATATAACAAGCCAAGTAACACCAAAAACTCCTTGGGATTTGGCTTCCTCTGGAGGAATTCCATGATCCCTCCAGGTAGTGACTTTGCCATAACCAGCTGAGTTCTTATGATATATTCCTGCGGCCCTCAACAGACCAGGACTCATGGAGGTTCACAGAAATCAGGGACCCTGTATATATTTTATGGCTGTGTAGCTTGATACTCTTGTGGGACTCCTAACAGTAGTAGTAGGGGCACTCACTGACTCTTTTGCCTACTTATGGGACCCTTTCCTCCTACTGGATTGCCTCATGCAGTCTTGATGTGATGGTATGTGCCTGGTCTTATTGTGACTTGTTACAATAAGTTGATATCTCTGGGAGGCCTACTCTTTTCTAAGGGTGGGGTGGATGTGGTCTGGGGGAAAGGAGAGGTGGGGAGTAAAGGCTGTGGGGAGGGAAGAGAGAAGAAACTGTGGTTAGGATGTAATATATGAGAGGAAAATAATAATAATGAATTGTAATCGCTGTATTAAGAAAAATCTAGCTACATATTTGATTACCTTATAATGTAGACATATGCTATATGCAATATATTTTTGCCACATATCTTAAAATCCTATGGTGCTGATAAATAAACCTGATAAATAAACCTATAGATTATGAAACCCTGAATTTCAAGTATTTTGAAAAACCACTCCCAGGAAAGAACAATAATGGGTTGACTGTGAAGAGTGGTCACAGCCTGTTTTTTTATACCTCATTTTGGAGACAAATGTTGAATGAGATTTACTCTTGTACATTAATGATGAGAATTATTTTGTTTTTAAGGTTTTATTAGAGGCAATGAATGGACAAGAAGAAAAATTGACTGAGTTTCTTGGAGTATAACAGAACAAGCATTCATATTTCAAGTTTGTAAAATGTAGAGTTGAAGAAAATCTGTCATTGTACTTGCTCATCATGGTGATTTCCACAGCCAACAAATGAAACAGGAACACAGAAAAGTAATAGTAAGGATAGGGTGGTGTTTAGGAGCCTTGGAGACATGAATGTGTTATTTTTATGGTTAAACATATGCATAAAGATGAGTGATAGTCTAAATCCTTAAAACATAAA